ATATATACATACTGTGTATATTGTTTATTCATAAAGACACTTATTTCATAATGTTTTTTTTTTAATTTATGAACATTTTAGTGTTCCATAAACCTAGTTTACTCTTCTGACCTTTTAACATAGTGACACTTTATCTCTTTGTACAAAAGTGTTGAATTAGTTAATAGAACTAATGTGTAAGAACCAACAGTGTTCATTTGGCACAAATAATAGTGAAAAGCATTTCTTAACCCTAAACTTTGCCCTGCTCCAGATCAGCCGGTTCGGGTGTTGTCGGTAATGGATGTTATTAGCGGTTATAAGTCCCATAGAATGGCTTCAGACTGTGTACCTATTCATTGAAAGGCAACAATCTGCCCATATACTTTGAACTAGCCCAGGTAATTTTCTCTAAAATTAACCTTAGTGGCTTTATGTCTCATATAAACCAGATTGCATAAATAACCTTAGTGCAGGGCTATTCAACTGGCAGCCCAAGTTCGGTCCACCAATTGGTTCATTCATCTCTTAAGTCCAAACCCCCGGTTTTCCACTTTAATTACTCTTTCTTTTAGTTAATAAATAGACATGTTTGGTATCTACAGAAACGTCAGAATCTTGGCTAGAAGCTGGTAAAAACATTTCTATAAACACTAAAGACAGTTAAAATTACAAGCAGAAGGTTAAACTATGAAAATGAAAATAAAATTGGTTTAAAAATTTGGCAAGTCAGGATGTCAAAATAATATTTGTGTCAAATAGAAGGCATAATGTGTTATTTTTGTTTTTGATATTTAATTATCACTACTTTCATAGAGTTCTGCATGTTATATTCATCATAACATGCAGCAAAATAAACTATTTCAAAGGTAACATATCTTTGTAATACTTGGTTTATTTACACATTAACTATTTGCTGGACGTTTGGCCCCTGAGCTGTTGGCCTGCAGTAACTGTGGCCCCTGGAGCAATTTAGTTGAATAGCCCTGCCTTAGTGGCTTTATGCCTCGTACTAACCAGCTGACAGTCTGAAGCCATTCTATGGGACTGATAACCGCTAAAAACGTCCATTTAATGGACTGATAACATCCAAAGTGGGTGCTCCAAATCAGGGTGGTCATTTCTCACTTTAGATGAAAAGCAACCTAATAATAATCATTTTACTGTATATTGTCATCAATGTGGGCTCGGCTTGCCAATGCAGGTGCAAGACTGAGTTGAGCTGATTAACATGCATTGTTTTCAGGTGGGTCAGTGTCAGCTTGTGTTTCTGCCCCTGACTTATTTTCAGAAGCATCAGGTATAAGAATGTATGTTTCTCAAATATTAATCCATTGCTAACAGCAAACCATTTGCATTTATGCATTAAAATCTTTTACAGCAGTCAATCATCCATCAACTCAAACAAACCAAAGAATCTCCAAGGGGACGGTGAGGTAATCTGCTATGAGATTAAGTTAAAGTTTGAATTTCTACCATCACAAATATAGAATGTTGTTGAGGAGACAAAGGTTCAGACTTACCCATGCTGTATTTAGCCTTGCACTTGGTTCGTTTTAAAATTTCAAACACCTGACGGAATCAAACAAAGTTAGAAATCCAGATGGATGAAGTCATTAATATAAATAATAATAATAAAAAATAATGTTTGTTTTTCTGTACTGTTGGCAAATTATTTCACAAATTACAGAAAGAAATAATGAAACTTTTAGAAAGAAGTCATTGATGTGCATCTGTAACAGATGAACTTCTTGAGTCAATCCAATTCAAGATGCTGCCGAAGCTAATTAAACTTACCTTACATTAAAATGTTATTAAGTTTACATTTACTACTGTAGCAGCTAACAGTCATTAACAATGCATGCTCTAGAACTAATAGACTATAAGATATTACAGAATCATGTGATATACACATATCTGAATACAACTTTGAAAAATACCCTTTGGAACAAATGATCTTATGGATTTAGGTGTATTTTTATTATGCTCCTTGTTTTTTTTAAACATGTGTATTAGTGTATAATTGATTTGCTAGTGCTTGATAATGTTAAAAATGCATTTATAGATTTGTATAATAAACAAATTTATGCAGTTTTAAATGTTTCTCTTTCTGAACCATTAGGACTGATGACCTAATTTTAAAACACATTTATATGTAAAAGAAAAACTATTTTACATCATTATTCATGAGAATTGTTTTATAAACATGCTAAAGTAAAGGTTATTTAATTTTTGTTCCCCTTATTTCTCATTCTATGTGTCAGAGAAGCTTTTATGTAAACAGTTAGATGAATTAGACTTGACTTACGATGGAACTCCTGGTTCTGCTGTCAAAGAAGTTATCCTTATCTGAACAGTCAAAGCTGTCAAAAGAAAACACACAAGCAGATACGGTTATTAGTGTTGTCTTTGTTGATTTTTCTAAACTTGACACTCTTATTGCAGTATTGATTCATTTAAAAAATAATTCATTTCACGTAAAATGTCCCACTTGAGTAAAACATTTCAGTGTGCTTTAAAACTGCATCTTAGATATTACAGCTGCAGAAGGGCGTTCTGAGGAAACTGTGGAATTAACCTGAAAATTTGAATAAGTACATCTTTCAGTTCCCTGTACCTTGCTCTCTGCTGCGCTACAGCTCCTCCTCCACAACTCCTCAATATAAAGAGAAAACCTCAAATAGCATTTGTATATTAGGATTTCTCAGTTGTAAATAAACAAAAACACTGCTAGCTCACAGGGAAAAATTCAAAATTTTAAGGCATTTTTTCTCAAAATCAAGTTTTTTGTTGTTACTGCTCAAAAAATACTTCAAAAATTTTTTGAGGATAATATTTCAGACAGTTCATTCAAATGATTCATTGACAAATGCATTAATTCTTTATATTTTGACAAAATGCCATTTTTGCACATCAAAACACTATATTTGCATATTTCTCCACATCCCACTTTTGGACTTAAAGGGGACCTATTATGCAAAATTCACTTTTTAAAGCTTTTTTTACTCAACTTTGGGTATGTACTTCTTAAAAAACAGTCCTAGAACTGTTATAGCAATATTTATTTAACAAAGACAGAAATATGTGGTCCAAGAATGAAGGTACTCCGAGACATGATCAGCTGAGTTTTATTACAACAACAGGAAACACAGAGAACAACCTGGCCTGTCTCTGTGCCTCTGCCTCTCTCTGTCAGTCTCTCCACACTACTGTTGTACACTGTGTCTCGAGAGGCCTCATATATATATTAACAAACACCTTTATGTCATCTTAGCAAGATTTGATACAAGGTCAATGGAAAACACAAAGATAAACACAAGTGATATCTAAGAATGACTGTTGTTGTTAGCAAATCTTGTTCTGACTTTAATCATTCTATCTGCAGATGAACAGCATGTCATGAAAACCTAGGTCATTAAAGGTTGTCATGAATTATTTGCTTAAACATAAAAGTATTAGTTCTATTATAAGGACCAACAAATGCACCCAGGGGCAAATTTACTGTAAGTAAATGTATTTTTAATGTATATTAACGACATGTTTTATACTTCCTACATTTTGTGATGTCACAAGCCGTACGACAATCGACCAGAACCTGCGTTCAGCCCCTCACCTAGCAACCCCTGGGTGAGACTCCACCTCCAGTATAAAAAGCCGTCACAGTTGTTGTTGTGTAATGTGCAGCTCATTTCACAACAAGCCTCCAATAGGGCAATGGGTCGAGTGTTGGACCAGAGAGTGGGAGACCAGAGTTCGAGATCCACATGGATATAAATAATTTAATTACTTATTTTCATTCTTTATGAACATGTTTTCTCCTGTACCTCTATTGTTTTTAGCTTTAGCCTATTTGTTCGAGTTTCTGAGGTATTTTGACCGCTGCTGCTCCAATTGCCTGCCCTGATAACAGCATGCAGAATGAGCGCAGAGCTCCGACACAGAAGGAGGGGGAGAAAAAAAAGCTGCGACCACGACTCTGCCTCTGGGTCTGACTCAGGGTCTCATATATACATTTGTACAATGGAACTTCTGCTATTATTAGCCATGCTAATGTAAACGCTGGCTTTGGAGGGCGGAGTTTCGAGAGCGTTACCAACAGAGCTCATTAACATAAACAGCTCGTTCTGAACAGGGCAGGCAGATTCAGAGCAGGCAGAACTAGAAAATGGGAAATTTTATTATCTGAGAATTATTTTGTGCATTAAATTGAATGAACATGGTCTGGATAGCCCACAGACATACCATAAAAATTTCTAGGACCCATAATTGGTCTCCTTTAACCCTCCTTTCGATGTGTCACAAATATGTAAAAAGTACACTTTTATAAAAGTTTAAGGTGGCAGAAATGTTTCTACAGGACAAAACAAATGTGTTGCTGATTGAACTAATCTTCAGAGAGAAAAACCTGGAAAAAAGCAGAAAATAAAAAAACTGTTTCAACTATGAGTCCTTCAGATCAAGTCAAACACTATGTCAGATAGCAGTTGTCACAAAGACTTCATGTTTTCATGAGATAAACTTGACCAGAGTTTGACCATTTTTGCTTCAGTTCAAACAAAAACCAGTAATCACCTGCTGAAAGAATTACTGGAACTTTCTCCTCTTCCTACGTTGGAAGAAATAAAGCGGACTGAGCTCAGCTTGATCTCACCACGGTTCCGGCTTGTTTGTGGTGACCTCTGGTGAGCTCCACACCAAACTTTTGAGTGCAGAGATTTATTACTTGTGGTGCTGATTTGTGGCTGAACACACTGCTGACACCTGGCTGGTTGTTGGTCCTCACCGTTCTACAACCAACATCTAACTATATGTTGTGTGTTCAGCCACATAATAATTCTTATCTAACTCTTTCCCAGCAGCCTTATAAACTCATAAAAACAGGGCATAAGTGGGAAGTTTTAGAGGTACTCTCATCTGGTCTGTGTTGATAAGATGGATGCAAATATAAAACAAGAAAATGTATAAACTTCCTTTTCCTAACATGAGACAGAACCCAGTCCTGAGGGGCTCCTGTTAAATAAACACAGAAACCACCAGACATCATGGCTGCCATAAATCAGTTGACGTTCTAACCTCAGTTAAAACACGGATCTTAAAAATGAACACATTCAAATCACATCTGCCACTAGCTGCTAACTGTGCCTGAATTCTGAACTTCAGATTAAATCTGAATATTTTGTTGTATTTATTGTTCTCTGGGCAGTTACAGTTTGTGTGTTCTGTTCGTTGCTGAGTCAGCAGTCAGTGTTTTCCTGGTTATAATCTATTTCATTACTTCCCAAGCCTTCACCACTTTATAAAAAACTAGTAACTAGTTACTGATGTTTAAATACATTATAGCCAAAACATATATTTTTATTTCCAAAGCTGCATGTTGAATAAAAGGGAACTTGATTGGCTACACAGCTGTGGCGTCAGAATGACACTCAGGGTTGACTGGATGATTCTAGTCAATCGATCACACGTGCAGATACAGGTGGGACACGAGGGGCTTGCCACACATTTGGGGCTCTGGAGTCTATAGATGAACCCAGTTGGTCAAAAGAGGTGTCAGTCGAGAAAAGACAACCAATCAAATTGCAGCGTGTTATGCAGATTAAAAGTCCCTGGTGGTGTGGGTCATGAGGCAAGAAATAACTACCAGAGGTCTATAAAGTACCTAAAAAATAAAGCTAAAGTAAAAATACATTTACAGAAAATGACTTTGGTAAAAATAAATTTCAATAATGAGAAACGTATTTAAGTAGAAGTCATAAAACTGTTCACAAAATATGGGAAAGTAAAAGTAAAAGTAATCGACACACTCTCTAAGAAACAACTCCTTTCAGGATGAGTTTGGACATATTTAATTCTGTAACGAGATATTAAATTTTAAAATAAAGAAGTAAAAGTATAATTTTAAGGTTTTAAACGTAATGAAATAAAAGTAAAAGTAACGATTTAAAAA